TACTGGTTTTTAAAGCTTTGCCCATGAAGACAACTGTACAGCATGGCGCCTCAGCTGAAAGGGAGTATGTTCAAACCATATTTTATAGCCTTTGACTGAAGGAAAGCTGAGAAATACATGATTGTACGAAATACAAAAACCTAAACTTATCGCGCAGCATTGTTGATGTTCAAATTTTCATGACTTTTTTGTTTTTTTTATTTGTTTTTTGTTTGTTTGTTTGTTTGTTTGTTTTTTTTTTTTTGCACAACAAGTTGCCAGTGCTCAGCTAAGGTGAAAAACGAGAAACATCGGCTCGAAACTTGAAAAGCAACACATTTGCGCGACAATTGAGCAATTTTGCAAGTTGTACTTCTCGGCCTTGAGTGCTGAAATGGGTGTTTTCGGATGATTCGGATTATTATTTTGAGGGATCGGTGGATTTCGGCGATATTTCTTGCAGATTTGAACAATTTTTCTATATGACGGAATTGTGCATTTTTACCTAAAACTTTTCCTTGCTTTCATTTGTACGCCTGTGATAGTTTTGAAAATGCTCTCCGAGAAGTGTAGGTTCTATATATTACTCATATCTCATCATTAATTTTCTTTGTATGCTTGATGTATTTCTMACCTTTTTTGCAAACAGGTCTGTACAATCGGACATGAAGAAATCTAACAATGAAAAAAGACATATCACTGATCTGCATAATTATCAAATGATAAATGTACATAGTACATGAAAACTGGGAAAGGTTGTAGAAACATTAGCTTACAGCTTGGCTTCTCCACTCTTCATTTGTTTTCTTGGATYAGCCTTTTGTATTAATTAAAAGTACTGGAATCACAACTGCAGATTGTAGCAATTATGACTGCTGAAAATCAAAAATATCTACCTCTGATAGTCTGGTTCATGAGTCCAACATTGTTTGTCTTCAGTCACAACTTTAGTCTCTGCTGGAGTAGAATGTTGTTTTGATGGCTGCTTTTTCTCTTCTTCTTCTTCTTCATCATCAGATGGGTCGAAGAATTTAACTCCTCTGACCTGAATTGATATTTGAGGTAATTCAGTTTATTATCTTGACCAAGATGAATTGGTACAGAAAGAATGCCTGTTTTTCCTTTATTCCTCCCCCCGCCCCTCCAGGGGAAGCTATAAATTAAGAGATATGATTTATTTACTTGTGTTCTTGGTTTTGCTCTTGGCTTTCCCTCAGAAAACTTCACTCCTGTCTTCCCAGTCCTCTTAGTAGAGACAGGCTGTCGAGAAGGCTTGAATCGAAAGGCACCAGGCTTTGATTTATCATCATCTGAATCATCATCATCATCATCATCATCAGAAGGTGGTTTGAAACTAAACCGTATCTTTGGTTTTTCTATTGAATAATATCAGTGATATTTCATTATTTATATATCATATGTATCACAGGGAGCCCACATTTACTAATCGCAAGACAAGAACACTGCTGGGCAGAAAAAACCGTTGGCATTGGATGTATCAATACAGACAAAAAAAAATGTATTACATTTACTAACCTGGCTTAATAGGTGTAGGTAGTTGTTGAGGACTCCTTGTTTCTTTTCTAGGTAAACAAAATTATGTTTAGATTAATCAACTGCAAATCAACTACTTATGCATGATACATTGTTCAATAATCATTGGGCAATGTATTCCATTGTATTGCATAGTTWTGTGGATAAATATGATAAAATACTAACAATGCTATAATATTATAATTATTGAACTCTCCATATATATACATGTCATATTGACAGTTATATAATATAAAAAAAAGACATGCAAGTAAAGAAATCAAACCACAAAAAAAGGAGGATGTTACTTCAGGAAAACAAACTTTGCTCAGATACAATATTGTTAAATACTTTCACATGAAAGGAAAAAAAGCTTTCAAAAGAACCTTGARCGYTGTTCAGCRCTTGTYTGTCTTGATGTAGCTGGAGTTTCATCTAATATTGTACTGATGTCAATGTCACTGAGATCCTCTTCTTCTGAAGTCATAGCTTTAACATCTTCACTTTTTTCCTCTGCCTGTGTTACAAAAATGTACATGTACATTTATATACTGATCAAAACATATCATAATAAAATAAATACTTATGAGCTACATGTAACATACATGAAAGGCATAYATTTGAACAATTCAACTCAATCTTAATTTGCACTGAAAAAAGTGTCGCAAAAGTACCAGAGAAGAATTTATTCCTGTCCTGAAGATGGACAAACAATTTGAAAGCTGATATTAATATTTTAAAACTTTTAATGTATAACTTTACAGTGTTATTGTGAATGAGCCTATGACACATACAAATACAATGTACATGTAGTAAGACTTGAATGATACCTTATCTGTGGACAAGCTTTTCTTGGCGCTCTCCATTGTTACAACTTCCTTCATTATCTTCTGAGTTGTAGACTCTTTATGCATAGTTTTTCTTCTTATTTGCTCCAAACGTCTTTCATTTTTTCTTTTYTCYTTCTGTACATCTTCATCAGTACTTGCCCCAGCTTCATATATCTCCCTAGCATAGGACATTGTCATTTTTACCATGGTTCAGAATTGTTTATACTTTTAATTATTATTTTCTTTATTCATGACTGTCACAGTTTGTAAAAAGCTGTGTTGTGCTTACCCAGTCTTAATCTTCTTTTTGAATGATTCAATGAGAAATTTCCATCGATAACCATGTGCTTTAGATG